GAGGTCTGGCCCTGCCGCTCTCACCTCCCCAGCGCCCCGCTTCCACTAAGCTGCCCGCAGAGGCAAGGCCCTGGGGGTGAGGGGCCTGGGTGTACAGCAGGCCGAGGGCAGCCTGGTGGGTGAGAGGGCTGGGAGCTGGCAGGCAGCGCACCCCTGTCCGGGGGCAGCTCGCCACACCTGTGTAAGAGGCCCACCTGTCCCGAGTGGCTGCTTCTCACCAGTGACTATGAACAGGAGCTGGCTTTGGCCCAAATACCTAAATTACAAATGCTCAAAGGTCACCCTGCCTGCGCTGTCAAAGTGGTCCCCAGAAACTGCCAGTCATGGAGCCCGCACGGGCTCCCAAGGTAGCTTGTTACAGAGCTTGTCTGTCCCTCCTGACAGGGAAAGCCGACTATCTTAGCAAATCTCCCTTGCTAAAACTCAGGCCAACTAATAAGAACAGTTTTATAGTGTTTGCTCATATTTAGCTGTGTAAGTTTGCTTATGGATGCGTTGCAAGTACCCAGTGACATTACTGTTTCTGCCAGAGGTTTCCAGACGACTGCTGATGCCGCAATGCACTTGGCTGTGGTGTCCTGCAAAATGCAGTGGCTTTTCTTTTTGCTGCCAACATTAGATCACATTAGTTTAAATCAACATGAAATAGATTATAATTTTATTTTTTCCATTAAAAGAACAAGTCTGCAGTATTGTTAACATCAGGAAATAATGAGTCAGACTTTCCAAAATCGTATTATAATCTTACATAGTACTTTCTACTGCCTTCTCATGTTTTAACTTCAGGGTGTACTAGGACTAAGCTTCAAGCTTTTCTTTATGAGACACTCATAAACTTGCTGCTTATTGAAAGTTCAGATCTGCAATAATTTGCAGACTTCCAGGAGATGACATTTTGAGGAAGAAGCAGCAGCAGTAATAACAGTGTGATAAAATATGATAAAAATGACAGTCTTGAAAGGTAGTGTTGTATTAGTTTTGTAGTACAAACTCAGATGTTACAGCGCTGACTACGTGCAATACTGATTTGGGGACTTTTTTATTTTAGACACTGCTTTAAGACGAAGACATCATGGATAAATATGAAATCATTAAAAAAATTGGAGAAGGATCTTTTGGCAAAATATTCTTGGCAAAAGGAAAAGTGGATAATGAACAGTGTGTTATCAAAGAGATCAATGTAACTCAGGTAAAGCAACAAACCTGGATGATAACGATAATTATTTACCTGATTGTGTTAATTGCATTTAGCTAGGGTATGAACTTGGGTTATATTTTATCTCCTTTGTAGTTCTATCTCGATTATATAGGGTTAAACTTTCTGAAGACTGTACTCTTTGCTAATTTAGGGATTTTACAAGCATAGACAAAATATGTATTTTGATATTAACCATGTTTACCTTTTACTGCATTTTTGTTCTTTTCAAAACTTCTCTCTACCTACAATGCATGACACTACCGAATTCAAATTTTGTAATAGATGATTCAACTACAATGAAACTACTGCCACTGAAATAACAAATCACAATTTTGTGATACATTTCTCTAAACTTTTTCATTTCCTTTTTTTTCCACATCCGTATTTTCAGACGTGAGTAATTCACAACAGAGTCGTTCCAATCCTCATTTGTGTTTACGGCAGTTTGATTCATCTCATCTGATTGTAAATGTCCATTCTGTAGCTGTCAGCACCTGAGCTGCTTGGCTAGACTCCCTTTCTAGGAGAACAAGAGAAATATGTATTTTTAGGATGCTGTTGATCGTGTGTGTTTTAGAATTCTGTTTTAGAATGAGCTGAATCGGGCCATAAAAGCGCTCTCTTTCTGTTGACTGCAGAGGCAGGGTTAGGATGACTAGCTCAGGTGTCAGAGCAATACCACTCCTATACCTAGTTCCTGAAAGACAGGCAGTTAAACTCCCTGTGATTTCAATACAAGGGTTTCAATAGTCCATTTCAATGAGTGCCTACATGCTTTTGACAGGTCTTTTGCTATTCTGGGCCACACTAGTGAATTTCTAATATATTAGAGACTTATAACAGAAGCATGAATTTTTATACATTGGTTCTAGAAAAAGCTGTATAACTTCCAGGTTCAAACCCAGAAAAATTGCTATGCTAGTAGTGACAGCTAAATAAAAAATAGTTTCTATGCTCATGACCAATAAAAAAATGCATTTCTAATCTTAGATTTTGATGTATACAAAATAGAAAAATGGAAGTTAATAAAATATTTTTGTGGATCCCACTCAAAAATCAGGAGCTGTATACAGAAAATTATTACTTTGAAGTCACAAGATTTTTTTTATATGGTAGAGTGAGTGTGTTTCATTCACGTTCTGATTTTTGAATCTTTGAGGATTACATTTCGAAATTATTTCCTAAGAATGAGGGTAAGCAACTTTTTATAAATACAACAGGACATTTTGATGGATGGATATTCAGAGACATTAATTTTTAAATTTTTAAGAAGTAATATTGATGAAAATGTGATCACAATGAACCAAATAGAAGTTTTCAATTTAATGTAACAGGGCAAAGAGTTTGACTGAAGTGTTACAAGAACTCATAACACCAGTAAAACAGAAGGATTTTTTTTCTTTTTACTTTATTCTTTTGAGATCATCCATTTTAAAAATACAGAATCACCTAGACCCTTATTCTTCGAATACTTAAGGGAAGTTTAACTTTAGAGTTTAACACTATTCATCAGCTGGCTTAGCAGTAGCATTTGTGTAAAAAGTTTAAAGGTATACATTTGTCTGTTTGTAAAATGTCATAATTTGGTTTGACTTTGGTAACATTCCAATATATTTCCAAGCATACACTGCAAATTGGTATTTTACATTATATATACATCATATTTTATAATATTTCTGCATCACCTTGGTAGATAGTCTTTTTGTATTTGTGGGAATGGTTTGATAACGATGTAACTATTTTTGAAGAGAGTTAAATATATCGTTGCTAGCATATAGTTTCTTAATTCTCTGTAGATGCCTGTGAAAGAAAAAGAAGCCCCTCAGAAAGAAGTCATTCTTCTGGCCAAGATGAAGCATGCAAATATCGTAACTTTCTATGCTTCTTTGCAAGGTTTACTTTTAACATTTTTGTTTTATTTGAGATTATAGGAGTGGAAGGCAGCAAAACCTAGCTTGTTAATATTGCCCAACTTTAAGCCTGTCCCCAACCCCTTACTTACCAGTGGGGACAGATCCCAACTCCTAAAAATGAACACAAGGTGTCAGATTCAGTCATCACTTGCCTTCTTCATGTGTGTGGGTGGGACCTAAGGTATTGTGGCATGAATGCTAGATCCTGGGGTGTCTGCATTGCTTGAGTTGAACTTTAGTCTTGACCTTCAACAGGAGTCCAGATTTTTATGAGACTTTTCCAGGAGTTTCAATAGAAGAAGAGAGCTTTTGAGTATAGCAGGAAATAGGTCCTGTTGGCCTTTTGTCTTGAGCCATATTTTGAGGTATCACTCAAGGATACAGAATTCTTCAGGACCGAAAGAGATCGAAGGAAGTGTGTTCTCCATAAAAGCTGTACTTATTTTTTCTGCTGATATCTGTCATAAGGAATGCCTTATGTAATGAATGCTATAGTTACAGCTTGTGTTCAAATTGTTTTCTGTGATCAGGACTGTAAATGTTTTAAGGGACACGTAAATCTGGTAGTCTTCTGGACCCCAGAGAGGTAAGAATAGGGTGAGTTTCCCTATTAAGTAGCCCATGCTGTTTATTTCTACTGTTGGACACTGTCTACTTTCAACCTTTTCCCTAACCCTAACTGTATACTTAGTTATTATTGGGGAACAATCCCAACTATGAAGTGTTCTGCTAAGTGTTGCCTTTAAGAACACCTGTGTTCTTTCTATGAATGTCATCACTTGAGGATTTTCTCATGTATTTAATATTTTGGTGAATCTCCATTTAAATATATTTTCATGTCTCAGTTTTGCATCAGGTTTCACTGGAAGTATCAATTTTTTCTAAGTTGCTCTTTGAAATGGAGGAGTAGATAGAGGATTAACTACTCCCTTTTAAAAGAAGGACCATATAAAATAAAAGTAATTTATTGCTGTATTAACAAGTAATAAAGGAAAAATTATACTTTTCCTTTCAGAAAAGAACAAGCTATATATTGTGATGGAATACTGTGATGGTGGAGATTTAATGAAGCGCATAAATATGCAGCATGGAGTGCTGTTCAACGAGGACCAGGTGAAAGAAGTTATCTTTAGAGGAAATTACATATTATGTAAAATGCGTGGTTTGAATTATCCAGTACAAGCTACTGTTTCTTTTCTGACCTGTTAACAATAATTGGACATTTTAAAGAAACTTTGGTAATTTTAATGGGAGTTTAGGGTTTGCTTTTTACACTGGTTTAAGATCTTAAATTAATTCATTAGCAGTGTTTTGATGCCATTTTTATCCCCCCTCCCTCCCATTGCTCCTTCCATTGTGGATGCACTTTTTCTTTGTACTAGTAGTATACCTACTAAGCCATAAAGACTTTCTTTTAAATGATGTTTTAGAATTATGGAGGGATGTATTATATACAAGTTCTTCATTCGTTTATGCTGTTTGCATCATGGCGTATCCTGCTTTATGCTGAAGTCAATGGTAAATCTCTCACTCATTTCATTTGGGTCAAGACTTCTCTGATGCCATTTAGATTGTTAAGCCAGCACAGAGAAATATGCCCAGAATTCTGACTGCTTTTGGAGCATGTTCACATATATTTTCATCTGTAAATAGGCGAGTATGATAGGTATTGCAATTCACAGAAACAGAATTTCCCACTATTCCTTACTTATTCCTTACTCTTAGCTTTATGAAGAAAATTTTCTCATATATATTGGACTTAGTGTACTGAACTCTGAGGTTATTTAATCATGCGTAGTCTTCCACTTTTGCAGGTACAATGAAAATTTACCTAGAAACTAGATAGATGGTATCCAACCTGTTAGTGGAAATACACTTTAAAGCATAAAAGTGGAAAAAAAAAGAAGTATTGTGACTTTTCTTTTTGCTTTAGTGGTAAAAGAGGAACTCCTTAGTGTAGAAGTCAGTTGGAAGTGAATTACTGGTCCAGTAATAATGAATTTTAAGATCCTATTGGGAGGTATACTAGCAGTAGAGAGGACATGAGAGAAAATAGAGAGGACAAAACCACAGATCATGAAAACATGAGAGAACCAACACACACAAACCCCTTGACAACAAGACAGAATAATACATATCCAAAAAAGGCAAAGGAAGTAGAGATCAAAGAACGGATTATAGAAACTAAAGATACCTCTGCCAATCACGAAAGGAAAGCAAATTGCCCAATTTAATATAACATTGTTAAAATATCTTTATATTTTCGAATGTATGCCTAAGAAAGTCTCATTTGTGGTATCCACCCTATTCAGGAAATCATCTGCTTAATGTGAAGCATTACTAAATAGAAGATTATTACTTGAATCAAAAAGTCTTTCATGATCATAAATTTTCCTAAATAGAGAAGCATATAAGCACATTGTACTTTTGTTTCTGAATTAAGTCCAAAGGCCCTTATTCAATAAAACAAGTATATTTGAGGTTAAATATATGTTTAAGGGCTGTACTGGATCAAGGATAAAGGATAAACCTGTGTGCTTACTTATGCAAGTTTCTTCATAGCTCCCTTCTTTCACCACATTTCAGTCCTTCATCCTTTGTTTCTGTTTTTTTCTGGACCACATTCGTTAAGACTACAAATACTATAACTGCATGGTATGACTTCCACCACTGAGGATTAAGAAGACACCTCCCAAATCTGTCTTAGTTGTTATTTGAACTCACTCATTTCTAAATAAAGGTCTAATAGTCTTACTGTCCTTTGACGTGATTCTTCAGTCCTTGTTCAAGTACTCGTCCTGTTACAGTCAGTGAAAACTTGATGGGGATAAGGAAAGTGGAGCAGGTGTCTAGTTCCATTTAGTTTTGTGGTAGCACTATAAAAGGAAAGGAAGAGTCTATGGCCTTAATTTTAAAAATATTATTTCTTACTATTTTATATTGTATATGCTCTACATATACTAGATTTTGTTGTTGTCTTCATTTTATATATTTCAGGAAGATGCCCCATTGGACATTAGAGTCACACAAATTTATAGATATCTGTTCTCTTTAACTTTCACTGCAGATTCTGAGTTGGTTTGTGCAGATCTCCTTGGGCTTGAAGCATATTCACGACATGAAGATTTTACACAGAGATGTAAAAGCACAGGTAGTAAAACTGGTACTGGAGAGGGGGTGATTTTGTCTTGTAAAAAATATGCCTAAGAAGCTCTACCATGTTTCATTTTCGCATACCAGTTTTGTTTTTATTTGCAGAACATTTTTCTTAGCAATAATGGAAAGGTAGCAAAGCTTGGGGACTTTGGCATAGCAAGGCAGTTGAACAGGTAAGCGACTTTTTTAGTTAGTCTGTGACCTACACCAAATAGGACTGTTTCTGAATGTTCAGAATGCAACTTGAATTTGCAAATTGTTTGTGGATTGTGCTTGTTCAAGAGGTCTGGGATACAGAGTCTGATACTACATTTTTTTCTGTTATCCTAGAACATGCCATCCTGCATGAAACCACAGATGTATCTAGCCTAGTAACTGGACTTCTGTTACGTATAAGACATAGGGTGGGGAAGCCTCAATCTTTCCCTGTTCTCTGTGGAACTGACATACAGAGATTCTGGAGGCACAGCTCCTGCTCTTGCAGCTGTTGATAATCACTTCTGGTGCCTCATAAAAAAAGAAAGTGAAGAGTGTTAAAAACTTAGGAAAGAGTATAAGAAAAGAGTTTGTACAGATTTTCTTTGTATGTCCTCCAAGACTGTGCCCATAATAATTTTTAAAAAAGGGCCAGAACCCACTCTCTGGGCCTGAGAGTAAATTATATGGCATGGCTTGCATCCGCATGGCTAAACTCTGTTGTCCCAAAGAGGGTGGCCTTATCTTTACTGACTTTGGGGACAAGGTTGGCCTATCCTGCATAGTGGCCAGGTGTTGTCTAGGGGAGTGCTTTTTGGTGTGGCCAAAACATGCCAGGGGGCATGCCAACAACAGGACAATGCTTGAATTTGATCTCTTTTTGAGCTGATTGATTTTCTTTGACCGTGGCAGGATATGGTGGCAAAGAAGTTCCACAATTTAATTAGGTATTGTGTGGAAAGGTAATTTCCTCTGTTGATCATTTTGCAGATTGTCCCTCTAGTATCAGTCCTTCTCAGTTGCTTTGTACTACACCTGCTGCAACTCACTTGTTAAAACTTTTCTTATCCCTCATTAAGTCAGTGTAAGTTTAACCACATTTCTGTCTACACAGCAACAGTAAAGAGAACAGATAACTTTAACCAACATAGACAATTTGCTCATTCTCTTCGGATGTACTTAACTGTGTACGTGTATTAGGTACCTTTATGCATTCTTCACATGGACATAACAGCCCATGTAATTTCTGTCAAGGCCCCATCAGATTGGCTTTGGATTTAGGCCTACATAACCTTGCCAGTTCAGTGGTGCCTCAGAGCTAGGAAGTCTTACTGAGAGATGGAGTATATTGGATTAGCATGTTCGGATAGTATCTTGATCCAAGCCCGCTCACCTCCAGGGATATGCCATGTTGCTGTTCTAGCTGCAGTCTCTGCCAGCTCTCGTACCTTTGTGGTGTCTTCCTTTGTGAAGCATAGACCTACTGTCAGTGCCTCAAGTCTCCACATGTAAACTACTTATGCAAAAAGTGCCTACCTTCAGAAGTGTTCTGGGGATAATCGCTTTAAGGATTGTTCCTACACAGCAGAATAGTACATAGCAGATAGGAAGTAAACCTCAGAATTTGAATGTCCAAGTACAGACACTTTAAAGAGTATTTAATAGGCTTATACAATAAAATAATTGGAGCTTGATAGTACTTTTCTTCATGTAACAAGTGAATTAAGTTTCTCAGGCTCTCTTTTCCTCCTCCCCTGGGGTATACAAAGGCATTTTCATCTCCGTTCTCCTAACTGCAAGATAGTGTCCAATACTTTTACTTGCAGTTATGTGTCTGTGGCACCTCTGGCACTCAGACTTCATGTAATCTATAAAGAGTGTAACTTACAACTTTATTGACATCTAGTATAGAGTGAGAGGAATCACACTCTATGAGTACCTGTTTCTCTCCACTGACTTCCCTGTGAGTGTTGATGACATCCACAGAGTAGATATCTAAAAGCAAGTGAAATGAATCCAGCTGGTGCTACTTGGCTGCACCTTCACAAGTCAGCACCAAAGGTGGAACTAGAGTTCATTTACTCATCCTTTAGTTTCTGGACAGCACTTCCTCCTTCCACTGTTTCTGGCTTGCGTGACTGACTACCACCTCCCATATTCTCACTTCAATGAGTATGTTGGAGACTTCTAATCTTTTGCAGTGTCTGACAGCTTTCAGAATTCTGTGTTAATGATAAACATTCCTTGAAAATGTTGATTACAATGCTGATGAAAAGTGGGGAAAAGCGAATTCTTGTGCTTTCTGTTGAAGTGCAAACACTCTCCACTATTAAAATAGTCATTTTTACACAGAACTGGGAAATACTTTAGTTTTTCTTGGAGTGTTCTATTATTCAACTATTTGGAGAGCAGAAATAATGTCCCCCACGGGCTTTTCATCTGCGGCAGAGAGGTCTCTGGTTCAATTGCTTGTAAATTTTTTCATTGTGTAAACCTTTGTGTTCATTGTGTTTCATTAGCACTATGGAGTTTGCCCATACCTGTGTAGGGACCCCCTATTATCTGTCACCTGAGATGTGTGAAAATCGACCATATAACAATAAAACGTAAGTCTGTCTTTCCTTCATATGCTTGTGCATGAGGGCATGCAGGCAGGAAAGAACTTATTTTACTAATATCATGGTTTAAATCAGTATTTCTGCAGGGCACCAGGAATTTCACGTGTCACCCTTTGTGAAGTTTTGTATTATTGTGTACAATAATTAGGTACATCAATCGTATACAACAGCTATGTTATACTGCACAACACTGTCAGTTGTATTTTGACTCACAGCGTCCAGAGTATAGCAATCATGAATTTGTTGTGATTTATCTACAGGCTTAACATAATTATATTTTTTGGTTTATAAAATTACTTACTTTAAACTTAAAGTTTAATCTCATTCTCTTTTAATACTCCTTGTTAGTAGTGGCGTGAAATGTAAAATAGATTTTTTTCCTTTGCTTTATCTGGTTCTCCATCAAATACTATATTTCTCTCTCTATTTCCAACATGTAATAGCCAATGCAAGTATGGATCTTTTCAGTTGCAAGTTTATGAATTTTTGGTACACTCATTTGTGATTTATAAAAATACACTAAAATGAAAGCTGCTAGGTTGGAAATTCTGGAACTTTGCAGTAGCCACCTGCAGGAAAAACAAATAGGTCTGAGAATTGTAAAGGCTCACTCAGGCTTAACACAAAATACCAGCTGAGAAGCACTGAAAAGTCAGGAGCTGAGTGGGCTAGACCACCTTCTCTGTGTGTGGGATGTGATCAACACCAAACGTTCTGGAGCCCAGACTAGCATCTCAGCTCTAAGGTGCTATTCACACAAGTTTACTCCCTTATTGTCTCCTTAACTATCAAGTCAGCCGGAGATAGCTTTGCCCTTCATACTGCTAGGAATATTAAGCAGGCATTCTTTACGTCATATGCCTTTTCCAAAGCTAATGATAGTACCTAGTTAGGTATCATAGAAACATTGGTACCACAACTAAAAAGAAATTTCTAGTCATTCTTTTCAGTGCATCTTAAGAAAAATTAAAAGTTGCACCAATATTAATCTGTGATGGAATAACGTTAATAAATTTGAGAGCTGAGAAGAGGTACTGATTCCATGTATGAAAATATTATAGTCTTTTCCCTGAAACTTTAATTACTTTTTATTCACAGAGATATTTGGTCTCTTGGCTGTGTGCTTTATGAGCTATGTGCACTAAAGCATCCTGTAAGTACCGCAGAATCGGATCGTTATCATATTATTACAAAAGATAGTGGACAGCCTGGAAAAACTATAGTAATAATAGTATTCATAGTCATCTGCTAGAATTATTTTCAGCTTATTTATTGATATTAAAGAATAACTGCTAGTGTGTAATTTTTCGTATTGTGTCTGTTTTGTGCATACTAAAATACAATGTATTATGTTGTATTTCTACAACATATATATGTGTGTGTATATACACACATTGAACATATATTTACTCTTTAATAAGTGCTAAACTTTTTCAAAAGGCAGATGAACAATGTAAAGAATTAAAGCCAAACTTCAAGGTTAGGCTTTAGGTATGTAATTTTACTCATTTCTATTTGAAAATACCAATCTATACTTACTAAAGAGTTTGAAACCCACATTTCCCCAGCAAGCAGTTTGAGTCCCCAGAAGCATTTTCCTAAAGGTTTTATTTTGTTTGAAGCACATTCGTGTCAGAAGATAACTGAGATATAACATCTTCAGGAAGCTGTGTTGTCCTCAGCCTGATCTGAGCCTCAGATAATCCTCAGCCTGTGAGTATTATGTGGAGCAGGGAACACGGCAGAGACTAATCCCAGCAACAGGAAAAGGATCAGATTCCTGGGCCCCGCAGAAGCTGACCTTTTGCTGAGCTTGGATGCGGGAGAAGGCAAAGCAGCACTGGTAGGGAGAGCACTTGTACTGAGCTGAGAGCAAGGGGATACTGCTGAGGAAAATTCCAGATTTCACAAAGTGAGAAAACATTAATATTACTTCTTATGAATATTAGCTGTTTTATTCTGTATTGCTGCCCATTTTTTTAATTTGAAGGCAGGGACTAGATGCTGATGTAGACAGGAAATGCAAATGAAGGTAAGGCAAATTTTGGTTACAACACCTTCAAAATAAGTAAATAAAACGGCAATTTTAGAAAGAAGTTGCTTTCAAAATTAATTTTGCCTGTCTAAGGCCCTTAAAAGTATATTGATGCTGACCTGTTAAGAGATCTGCTGAACTGAGAGGGCTGAGTTATCTGAGTGGCATCAGTTGTTAAAAAATCAGATTGTACCTTGGTTCCTGAGAGAACACAGAATGCAGAGGCTGAGTTGCGTGGACTGAGGTTTTGAAGGTGAACACTATGAAGACAGTATGTATGCAGGTTTCTGTTGAACAGCTTTTGGCAAAATAAATCATGTTTCATTCTGGAAAAATTGCTACTATATGACAGCAGAGTATGAATAAAACTCTTCCAGGTACAAAAGCTATCGGACCTGCTGAGTCGTGCAACTGAAACAAGGAGAACATAACCAGAAAATACAACCAGAGAGTGGTTATATTAATTTTCCACAGCAAACTAGGGATAGCGAGAAAGGATGTGTGAAGACATTGCAGAGCGCAGGGCTTCTGTCAGCAAGTACCTTTATTCAAGTTGGGGTGTCTAGTCCATCATTTCCAACCAGCAGTACTTACTGTCCTCTTTTTACTCTTCTCATTGATTAAGTTTGAAGGCAATAGTTTGCACCAGCTGGTGCTGAAGATCTGCAGAGGACATTTTCACCCAGTGTCTCCCAACTATTCATATGATCTGAGGATATTAATTTCCCAGTTGTTTAAAATATCTCCAAGAGATCGACCATCTATTAACTCTATTCTAAGGAAGCCCTTCTTGCAGAAGCTTGTTCTTAGGTATTTGCCCCCTGAGGTGAGTGCCTTTTTGCTGCTTGCTGAGAGAAAAAATGTATATCAAAGTAGTATAAACAATTCTATCAGATGATACCTTTTTGCTTATAGATAGCACAGGAAGAACTCAGTCACACTGTGATACATAGAAAAAGGCCTTCAGCATCACAGCCTGGAGCGAAGCTGATACAAGGTAATGATAATAATATTCTTTAACATTTAGTTGTACACTAACATTTGTTAGTTATGATATGCTTGATGGCTACAACTTTCTCCAGCAGTCTTTAAGGCACATTTGGACACAAGAGTTTCACACAAAGTTGAAAATAAAAAGAGGAGAGAACTGCAACATCAGAAACATTCACTCCAGACAGTGCATTGCTGTTCCATTCGGGAAAAGACAACTTTAAAACCTGCTCATTAGCAACGTTCAGCTAGAAAAGCTGCCATAGAAAGGTGCTGAAATGTTAATCTTAATTCTTTTAAGGATAGAATTCACAAAACTGAGAGGCTTTGGTCTAGATGCAGTTTAGGTCTGTCACATGACAAACATCCTTCCTTCATTTTGCCAAACTATGTGCAAGAATGCCAAAATGTTGCAAAACTTGCTCCATGGTATTTTACAAAATGATAAAAATGTATATTACAAAATATTATAAATTAGATTAAATTGTGAGAGACAATGAACTCTATTTGGTTTAGTGCTCATTGATAGATTGAATTGTGTCTGATCACATTCTTAGAAAACACGGATGAGACTAAATGGTATCTCTCTGTGAACTGCTGAACATCTGACATGTTTCTGGCAGCATAACCTTTTCCTAATTCTGTATTCTTCAGTTTATCATAATTATTCCTCAATTTATCTTCAGAGGTACTAAAGTAGTTTAAACACATTTGTGAAAATAAACCTATGTAGTTACTTAACTGTGCTGTGGACTTCTTTTTTTGTTTTGTTTTGTTTTTTCCCCAAAGTTCTTCAGTAATGTAGGAACACATTTTGTAAATAACAAATTTCAGTGTGATTTATCTGCCCTCAGGTCTAATGCAATTTGGACAGAGGCACCTGATCACCTAAGACGCTTAGGCATTTTAAAAAGTATCTATGGTCATATACTCCTAATTTTCATATATTTTTTCTTCTAGACATGATACTCTAACAGTCATTACTCAGGAAAAAATTAGAACTCATTTGGAAACTACTTAATCCTAGCAAGGACACTACTTTTCATTTTTGCAGATAAGATCTTTGCAAAATTCTGACTGACCAAACTGGAATGGTGTGTACTTTTATTCTCCTACCTGGGGAACTGATAAGCTAATTTTTTCCCTTTGCAGCCCTTCTTTCCAAATTTCGCAAGTACTACAACATTGTCTAATGATTTGTAGAATACTGAGGGGTAGGTTTAGAAAGGGAATGCCTAAGCAGGTAGACACCTAGCCTCCAATGAAATCTGAGTCTAAAAATCAGATGTCCTGTTTTCTGTTCTTGGTACTAGCGTCAAATCAGCTTTCTAGTTTATAGAGGTCTCCCTTTTATTTAGTGTGGTTCTTTGCAAAACTAATCAATGAGATCCACTTTACATGAGTGTGTCAAATCATAACGTTTTCAAAAACGTGCCATT